GCTCTCTCTTTCAGTCTTTCTCGTGACGGTGTCACGTGGGGGTGAGGACTTGGGTCCCACAACTTTATCATTACTCTCCTTCTCTAATTTAAAAATATATATTTAAAGATGATTTTTATGTAATATTTTTATTTAAATATATTGAGGGTTTTTAAGGCATATATTAAAGAAAGAATCTCGTTTTTTTATGTTTAAATTATTTTAAATTATAAAATAATAGTTTTTAAATAAAAGATAGTTTAATAGTAATAGATTTATTTCATTATTTAGATTATAAAATAATTTTGTATTAAAAAATATTTATAATATATTTTTTTATTATTAATATGTATAAAAAATTATAAAAATAAAATTTATTTTTAATAATAATATTATGTAAAATATTTTAATTAAATAATTAATAAAATTAAAGTTAATTTTATTTTTTAATAATAATATTATGTAAAATATTTTAATTAGATAATTAATATAATTAAAGTTAATTTTATTTTTTAATAAAAATTAATTCTATAAATATATAATAAATACACTTTAATAACAAAAGTTAAAAATCTTCTTGTATATAATTTAATTATTAATCTTTTTAACTTAATAGAATTAGTAAATTTGTATTTATTTATTTAATAATATAAAGAATTATATAAATTAATATTAACCTTTGTCAAATCCTTAATTTGGTCTTTGAACTATTGTATAGACTTTAATATAAGAGATTTATTTAGACCAATAAAATTAATTACTCCTATTATATAGATGTAGTTGCAATTTTCAAACTGTATACATATTGTGATTCGTCATATATTATTATTGTGAGTTTATAACAAAGTTGTCAATTAATTGAAAATCCAAATTAATTTATCATGTCGCTAATAATGTATTATTGATGTCAAATTAATAAATTATTGACATCAAATGACATTACACATCAAATTTTGAGTGATTTATCTAAATTAAAAATTTTATGGGTAGATTTCTCTTCTTTTTTGTTCGTGGTGGATCCATCCCCACCCTATATTTTGGAAAAGGATTTGATTATTTTAACTAATGTAAAAATTGATATATACCAACTGTACTGATCGGTACGAAACTGTACCAACAACTATGTTTTATAAGGTTATAATTTTTTCAAAACAAAAGTTAAAAGTATTTTTATTATATTTTTT